GGTGGCTGCGGTCTGAAACGGGGTTCCTCCGCTGACACGCGGGGACTTGATTTACGGTGCTCGAGTGGCTTTTAAATGCTGCCGTGAAACGCAACCTTTTCGCCTTTCTCTGGGGCCTTAATGTTATTAAAGGGATCTTTAAAGCGGGGACGATCTGAAAACAAAAGTAGTGCATGGGACACAATTACGCAGCCAATTCTAGCCCAACCCGGAAGTTTATGTCGGGAACACGTGTTGGTGAGGAAGGTGGCGAGGCTGCGAGCTGCTGACCCTTTAGCTGGGGGAGCGGTGCGTTAATGCTGTGCGCCCAGCGAAGCGTACGGGGGGCCCGCAGCCCCTGCTGGGACTGACTGCCACAGCCTGAACCTCAAAGTCCAGTACCCTGTGAGTCTTATCGAGCACACCTCAAACAGAGGTTGCTAGGGTGAGTAATTGTTTAACGTAAAAATGCTCTTAACGCTCTGGAGGGGAAGAGGCCTTGTGGATTTTCTGGGTTTTTTTATTTCTAGTTGCTTCTTTATTATTTTTAACTGACTACGTCCCATGCTTTGTTTGAGGGATATAAATCGGAAATCTTGTACTTTCTTCCGGATACTTGTAGCCTAGTTTTAAACGTTTGTGGTACCTGTTAATGTTCAGACTAATAGCTTAAAAAGTTTATTTAAAAAGTTTATTTTATTGGGTTATTTAGTATTGCGCTGTTTGTTCATGCTAGTAACATTTTTGTTTTACTTACTCTGTAGTTAAGAGTTAAATCAGTGGTAAACTGTTTGGCTTTAAAGTATGTATGTTGCATCTGGATTAAAAATTATTTACATGAAAATATGTGGATGTTTTGCAAGCCTTTTTTTCCCCCTTAAATTGAAGTTACGATAGAAAGCAAATATTTCCCCATGGTAAAAGTTGTGTAGCAGCATGGCATTCAAATTGCTTTTCTACATCCTGTTTACTGGCCTGTTGTGTTATATTTGAACGTAATCTTGATCTTTAAAAATAACATTTGAGTGGTTTATTGTCATATTCAGAGAAGTCCTTTGGTGTCAAAACTGGTTGACAGCTACTTAAAAGCTATTGAAGTAGGTAGCAGATATGATTGATGCGTTTCCTGTGTGCTGAAGTACAGCTAGAACTGGATCCAAGACCAACGCTGAGGAATGTATGTATGCACATATGTATATAGGAGTAGTGTATATATAGAGAGGGGGGTTATATATAATGCTCAAATACTGCTATTATCTCTTCTGGGTCTTTACTACTTAACAAATTTCCACCACCAGTTAATAAGTTAGCACCTCCAACCATTCACTCTGAAAGCTAATTTCAAGCCAAATCATCATATCATCTAGTCTCCTGGCATTTTAGCAACTTCTAAATGTTACATTTTTAGACTGTGCCTCCTGACTCTTGTAAATTTCATAAACAGTCATACTGCAGCTTTAGGCTAGAGCTGAATTGCATACTATCCTAAATTGTACCTCATGTCACCTTACAAGCTTTCTCTTTAGAGAGACAATCAGTGTTTGAAAAACTGTTATGGTTTTTACTGGATTCGAATCATTCTTCACAAAAATAAAAACATCGACTTTGTACCTTTAAATGTAGTATTAACTGCTGCTCTTAAGGCCTGTAAGCATGGGCAAGTTTGTTGATTAGCCTTTTACTCCTTGATTGGATGGCCCTTGATTGGATGGCTGTTTGGAAAGCACCAGAGAGGCTGTTGTGTTGTTGTGACGGGGGGGGGGGTTGTTTTCTGCAGCTAGAAGCTATGAGATGAGCAGAACCTAACTGGATATTTGGAGTCCTGTCTTGTGGGATTGGGGGCTAGCTACCCTTACATCTGTGTTGTGAGGGGCTGCAAACTGGGTTGTGAAATTCCTATCTTGATAATAGTGCGCAGCCATATAGTTCAAATGACATATGTTCCTCAGAAAGCTAGCAGGAAAAGCCCTTGTATTAAAGGAGAACAAAAGTTGCTTAGCTGCGTTATTATCTCAGGCCAAGCATTAAAACCTAAGTTTGCAGGTTGGGCATGTTAAAGATGCCAGTTGTCTAAAGGGTTTGGCAATATCTTTATTTAGCTTGTTGTGATGTTTGGTATGGGCTAAGTTGTGATATTGGAGTTTACTGCAATTTTAAATAAGTACTTAAAATATACACTGCTATAATGTGATACAAGAGACTTTGAAAATTGAAAGCCTTTATTTGATTTAGGATCCCATCATTAGTTTTCTTAGGAGAAATGGGGGTGGAGAGCAGGTTGCTGGACATGTTTTTTGATTCCTCTTTTTTTTTTTTATTTTTTCCCCTCCTCCTTTCTACTAAAGCTAAAATGGAGGGGGGGGAAGAGAATGAGCCAGGTTGGCATGGATACATGTCATAATATTAAACATGATGTTCTGGTTTTGTTTCTTTAAATTAGCAATTATTTGCCTAATGCACAGTGGTGGTGAAACTGTCTTTTTATCAAACTTTATATTCTTTAGCAGTATGCCACCTTACAAAAATGCTTAATAAATTTTGATAGCCCTTTTTGAAGTGGCAACAGGTTGTACCTTTTCCCTTTATTAATACCAAAAAATGGCACAATTACTGTTGAAATTAGATAAAACTAAAAATATATTTATAAAACAGGTTGGTTCTTGTTCAGTGACATTGGACAGCATGGCTAAACATAGACAACCTTGTCTGCAAGATTCTGCATGCTTGGAACAGTTCTTCCACTGGTGAAATGCTCAGGGAACAGCTTGTAATATTCACAACTTATATATATAAGTAATTTCTTTTGGAGTTTAAGATGTGGCAAACAGGTCCTTATATAGTATTGCCAAAGCTGCGCTGAAGAGCTTGATAAAGTCACTTTCACTTATGTTAACTAAGAAGCCTCCTACCTTGCAAGATTATGGAGCTGTTTTGGCTTGATAACACTTTAGGCTTGACTAGCATATGTCATCAAAAAAAAAAAAAGCCAAACAAATTAAGCTATCAAGGTGCAGCTTCTCCTCTAATGTTTCAATGTTTCTTCTCATTTTCTTTCCTTATTAAAGTGAACTAGATGGGGGGGGGGGAAAGGAGGAATGCGGGGATGGTTTTTTTGAAGTTTCAAGAAAACCTAACATTGATGCTAAGTGTTTATTAATTTTAATAAGAACTTCTAGAAGTTCAGATTCCCCTTGTTTTAGTTTAAAACAATGCAGCTTTGTTCCTAGTGTATAGAAACAAAATAAGTGACACTGATCTAAGTTTCGTTGTCCAGACTGACAGACAGACAGACAAGTGAGGAGTTGTTTTTACTTTTTTGCTGGTTTTTTAGCAACTATTAATTTTTAAGATTATTAACTTGGAGTTAGTGTGAGAGGAATGCAGCTGGGGGACGTCTATGTAAAAACAGCTCTGCTAAGAAAAGGATGGTTTAAAATTAAATGTACTTATTCTGGACGTGTAGGAATTCCTATATTAGTTTCTATCATTAGTCATTGAATGTTAACTTTGAAGTAAGCAGCTAAAAGTATTACTGCTAGGAGGTGGGTTTTTTGTTTTTTTTTGTTTGTTTGTTTAAGTCAGTGAGTCTGTGCTCAAGGCATCCAAGCCATCATGGTCTTTAAAGGTTAAAAACTGAGAATTTAGTGTAGTCCTGGATATGTTACACTTGACTTCAAACAATTTGATAGGTTTTGGCACCATTTTATGATGTTTAAGGAAGATAAGTTTTTCTCCTAATTTCGATTTTGCTTTGAATCTCAATTTCCTAGAAAGTCCTTTTCTTGCATTACAATAGTAGACTAGAAATTATCTTTTTTTTTCTTTTTTTGGTCCTAACTCTCTTTTAAGTAAGCAGCCCCAAGCTTCTGGCTTTCCATGTCTCTATTTAATATAGCCACTTATATCTCAAGTTCTAGTCATACCTCCTTTTAGAAATGATTTGACCAAAACTATATGCAGACTGAATAATGACACAATTGGCCTTCTCTTTTCCTTGTGTGTTTAGACATCTTTATTTGACTATGTTGAGCAGAAATGTTTATACTATGTAGAAGGGTGCCCATGTCTCCTTTCCAGTCAGTACTGTAAAGTTACAGTTGCAAAGGTGTTTCAAAGCTGCCAATTTGAGGGGAAAACTAGTGTAAGTTCCCCTTCTGTACAGAATTTCACTTGCAATGATTGCTTTGAAGTTCCTAACACCAAAAGTATAAGCTAAAGTTTGTCTGTGGATTTGGTCATCTTTCTCCTCTCACCCTTTTCTAATTAGTAAAAAATGCCATAAGCATCTAAACTAGATATGATGATCACTGTCAATTCTTTGGCCTGAGGAAAATTAAGGATTTATTACCCATGCTTAATATATATATTTTATATATAAT